CACAAATGGTCTCAAGAGAAAGAGGCCCGACTTGACTAATGGACCACATCGTGGATTGTCTTTTTATAAAGAAAAATGGAATAGAAAAGTGATTTGAAAATAATTATTTTTATCATGTAATTAAAATAAAAAAATATTTATTTTAATAAAAATTTAATAATTTAATTAAAGAATTTAAAATAAATACGAAACTTAACGATGAGTTAAAGAAAAAAAAGGGGGGGAAGTGGGAAAGGATTGGGTTGGCATGCAACAGAGAGTCCCGATGCTAAGAGTCAATTGATTAGATGCGGGTTTATCGGACAGAGTTCCCCTCCTCTCCATACTGTACGGTACAACTGGAGCTGACGTCAGGTGCTGCCGGGTTTGCACCTGGGAAGTGGCGCTGTGTCTGTCCCCACCTTTCGCTTTTCATGAATGTCCACTGCCACGCAATCTTTTGCTTCCGCACCCTTCTCTCCCTTTCTTTTTTCTTTTTTTAATACCGATTACCCCCATAAAAAGATGGGTCCACCTCTCTCTATGTACGGAAAACAGGGCTAGTATTCTCAAATTTGCAACATGCAAATGCTATGCTATGGCATGTAGTACTAGTAAATATGCAATCATCATTTACTAATGTACTACCACTATCAGTGGAATTCTCTCTCTCTCTCTCTCTTTTTAATTGATTTTTCATAGCCAAGGTTAAGAGGAATATATTAGTTTTTTTTATTTTATTAATAAGATATCATAGGATTAGAACTTAAGTTTTTTTTTTTTTTTTAAACAAGGTTACAAATACGAAAGAGGGGGATTCGAACCTCAACTCTCAAGTTGAAAAAATGCATATTACAAATCGACTTATGATTATTGAACCGTGAGACCCAAATGCAATTAGAACTTAAGTTTAAGAAGTAAAAGAACTATATCTTAATAAGATAATAAGAATTATTCAACTCAATAGGTTAGGTTTTTTTTTTCTTGTAATTATTATAGAAGATAGAAGTTTAATTTAATTTTATTAATTATTTGATTAAATTTAAAAATAAAATTAATTTTTTTATATAAATTAATAAAAAATATATTGATTATACTTTTAAATAATATGCAAATTAAATAAATTATTTTTATTTAAAATTATTTATTTTTAATTAATTTACGTACATTTTAAATTTATTTGTTTCACAATTAATAATAAATAAAATCAAATTTTAATATAAAAATCTTCAATTAATAACATAATATAAGTTATATAATTTAAAATATTAAAAAATAAATTATATATTATTTAATAATAATTTTTATTTTTAATTAATTTACGTACATTTTAAATT